ACTACCACTACCACTACCACTACCACTACCACTACCACTACCACTACTACTACTACTACTACTACTACCATGGTTGCCGCCATCACCACATATGAAGACCGCCGCTTGTAATTCATACGATTTGCTGTTGGGATCATGATTTTCGTACGATGCTTTCTTCTACCTCATTTATGAAATTCCCAACAAGCAGGGGCGAATGTTGTACGTCAAAGGGGCATGCGGCATCTCAGTCCGCCGACTGTGCGTTGTCGGCTCCCCTTTTCTGATCTTTTCTGTTGAGTTCTTCAATTCTTATGAAACTACCATATTGTGGAAGGGAAAGCAGACGACGCAAGGGCAAAGAGATCAAAGCGTGGCTAGTTTTGGAGTTGTAAGGTTAGGGAAAACTTTTATTGCTAATCCAACATGTAGGGACCACATCTCACAGTCTCTGATGGAGTAGCATGAAGTAGCAGAATCCATAGATATGACTTGAGATCCGTATTGCCTCAAATAGACGACTCTAGTATCGAATGGAAGCTTGCTAGGTCCTGCGGGATCCTCTTCTTTTCGCAATCTGTTAAGGATTCGTTAATTTGCATGCCCGTTTCTATATCTTGCAGGCGGAAAACGACATGACTGACATCACTGACATCACGCTCTGCTCTCTCAACTGCCCGTTTCTCCGGCTCCCTGTTGTCACGCATGACATTGCCCCTGGGGCCGTGGGGCGGCTCCGACCATCTGCTGTGGACGCCCACGGATCCGAACCACATTGCAGACGCACCGACGCAGCAAGGCGAGCAAGGCGACCAGGACGGGACCGAAGTCACCTTTCTCGAACTGGTGGAGCGCCGGTTTTTGCGCTGCAGCGTGTTGTGCGGTGGTGGTGAGGGGTGCTGAACGGCAGAAGTGTGAAGCCACCAACGGATGGCATTGGGTAGCTTCTTTGGATTTTCTTTCACTTAATTATATGTCTTGTGAGGAGACTCAAACAACTCCAAAGAGTCGAAGGACAACAAAAAGAGACAAGTTGCGAGCACCTATCGCTTAAGGCCGCCCCCGTTTCTTTTTTTACATATACAATATACATTCAATGGAAACAATTCTGGGTTCGGTCCAGACTCTTCCATCTGGACTCCGAGATGTTCGGATCATCCCGGATCGGGGTCTGTTTGAAGCAGTTTCTTCGGAATTTGACCAATCGGTTTAGACTTTTGCAATGATCTCTCTCTCTCTCTCTCTCTATTGGATCGCCATAAGAAGGTATACCCATGAGCCCATGAGTGTTTGGTTCATGTCAATGTGTTTCTAGGACATGTTTTTGGCTCCGGAAAGGACTTCTATTTCTTGCTTGCTCGGTCTTCGTGAGGGGTTCTTTGGACATTGTGGCAGACTGTGATCCGCCGGCAGCAGCAAGGCTCAAGCCAAGTTGTCACAGCACACCACACCTCTACAGCATTCTACAGCAACAACTTTACACACATATACAAATTGCATCAAATTGCCACTAAGTTCCATGGTGACGGTGGAGACCTGTCCAAACAAACTGACGGTAGGATTGCCAGCAGAGTTGGTGCGGATTCGTTGACGGATGATTTCGATAGCTCTCAGATCTATCAGATCCATCACACACAGGTGTCAACCTTTGAGAAGCAACACCCAGGCACTTTGGCAAGCAACACCTCACGGTGTCGGTGAATTGGGATGACCTGCGGTGAGTTTGCCCACGGATGGACAAATCAAGTGGGTAAATCAACAATGGTTTTCCATTTTCCTTGAGATGAGCTGGGAGGATCCACTCAGTGGCTGATGAAGATGCAACCCAAGTCTCAAAACACTTATGATTCAAGACATGAGTTATGGAATTATGGTCTAATGCCGTCATATCTGGTGTTGAACCAATCCACAATGCACCGAACTATTTGCTTCGGGCCCCTGCCAGGGGAATCTATGGACCAGTAGCAGTAGATGGTCACCAGAACACCTGGTTTCTCCACTGAAATCGAAACCTCGCAGGCTTTCTGCATTCGATAAACAGCATGTTCTTCTGAACTTCCAGTCGTTTTTGCATGAGAGCAAGAACATGAGCAAGAACATGTTTATTTATTGGCCCACAGAAAGGGCACAAAGACATGTTCACCGTACAATTTGCAATGCATTTTGCATAGTTTATTCATCACGACAGCGCCGTGCTGCCGTGCTCAGCGGCGGTGTGAGCTTTCGCCGTGCGGCACCTGCGCTCCACCTGCGCCTCTTTGCACTCCTTCCATCAGCTGCGCCTGGGATCGGCAGCCTGAGGGCAACATGTTTTGAAGTTTTGGATATGGATGAGAGTTCGCACTTCGTACCCGAACTGTGGTCAAGAAGCCTCGACAAGCCCCAGGTCGCAATGGGGAGCGGAAGCTCTGCGCAGAAGTACCACCTGACCACGGCCCAGGTTCGTTTCGCCCGTGTGGCACGCATTTCGCGCAGTTGGACGTGGGTGGCTTGGAGAGGAGAGATCGACATTGAGATCTCGGATGGGGTTGAGTCTCGGGAATTCATCCACCAGATTTCGACGGACATTTGAAGCGTGTATAGCCGGGTTTGTCCTAAGTCTGCGGCATTCAAAGAAAGCCCTGGTCGAGGATTCTCTACTGGGTAAAGGAAAGGGATGTTGTTTGCTGGAGATTTGGAGCCCTGGGGACTCCCATGTTTCCTGGGAAGCATGTGCGACATAGAGTCATAGAGGTAATCCTACTGAAGGCTTGCATAGTTTTTAGTAAAGGAAGACTCACCCGCTACTGGTGCAAACAGAAGTGAAGGCTGTTTCCGAAACAGGTCATTTTGTTTGGGGATGTTTTGAGAGTGTTGATTTCATGTGGGAGTGGAGTTGATGTGCAGCTGTGATTGATGTGTTAAGTTACTATGTCAATTTGAGAAGCCGACAGAGTTCTGGGACGTCGACCGAGTTGTTTTGGGGATATATCACGAGGGGTTGAGCTTGGCGTTCGTGTCTTCTCCCATTTTTGTCGGGAACGGCGAGTGTTGTCGGTTGGACAAGTCCACAAGGTGAGAAGAGAAAAACGCACAGACAGACACAAAAAGGAACAAATAAGACAATAAGCACTTGGGTCTTTCACCAAACCCCGGTGTCCTTCAGGCTTCTTCAACCGAATCACTCCGAGAAACCAGTGGTGGAAAACGTGTTGTATTTGATCCTAACAACATCCACGGCTTCTGCCCGGTTCCAAACAGCCAGGAGCGTGAAAGGGCTTTGGCAAGGCATCAGCAGGCCCGTTACGCTTGGGTAAAGCCCTTGGGCACCGGCAGGGTGTTTTTGCTGCCATTGGACGCCTCAGAAGATGGGACCTTTGTTTTTTGCTGACGACAATGAGGAAATCGTGCTGGCTGTTCAATGCTGGTTCCTTTGGCTGGCTACCTTGTTTGGTGTGCTTGAGCTTCGACATCCGTGTCAAAAGGTTTGGATTGCGACTACTTGGGAGCTGACCACGAGTATGCTTGTGTTTAGTTTCCCTGGTTTTCAGGGCGACATGACACACAGCTACAAGAGCCCTCTAGTATGCCATGCTGTGATACGCTGTGTGCTGAGGTGACGTTTTAATTGACAACCAAGCAGCTGGAATGGAAATGCCTCTCAAAGTGGACACTCCCACTGGGGTGTGGCTTTGAATGAACTTCAAGTAAGGCCTTTTTCTTTATCGGATTGTTTGGGGCCGGACAAAGGGGGATATAACACACATGGTGAGGTGCACGCAGCATTCCAAACGACCACGTGACCACGTTGCAAACGGCCAAGCGTTCCTCACACGCGTCTTACAGCCATTTCGGAGCCGAGTATCTGAAGTTGTTGAGAGCTCCATTCGATCAGGGCACCTTCGAAATCCTTCGAACCGGGCACGGTGCCGCTTCGAACTGAGGGCTTAGCACCTGCAACCGTTGAAAGGAGACCCACACCCTTCTGGCTCTCTGCCGAAACGAGAACTTCCGCCAAAGCTCAAGAAGTGACGCCCGAAGTTCCTCAGCTTCCCCACCGGCGCTTGAATGGCTTCCGGCGGGGCTTGTGGCTTATAGTCGTTGCTTCGTTCTGTGCACATCCGACTTGTCATGCACTTCTGAAAGAGACCCATGCAGCTGGCGCCATGTCACTCCTTCGCTATGGGCAGATGCTTTTCAACAGCTTTTCACATCCCAACCACAGCTGGTGCCACAGCACTTCAAGAAGTATTTCGCTAGGC